GAGCTATGTGCGGTCGGCAGCTGAGCTCGAGGTTGAATTCTGATGGTGAATTTGCAGCTATTTTCTCGCGACAGTGCTGAGTTCGAGGCTGCTACATAGGGATTCACGCGATGTAAAAAAACCGGCGATTTCTGTGCACCACCGATTCGTCGAAGGTTGCAGTGTCGATTAAACACCGGAATTCAGGCAAAGTAGAGGATCCACTTTATTGCCGTTTGAGATGATTCTGGCGCCGTTCGCTGGAGAAAGACGCTCGTGGTGGTCTGATTTGCTCTGCTGCAGCTTTGGCGAGAGGAATTCAATCAATTTTTTGACACTGTTCTCCTGTTCTCCTGAAGGGCCAGCTTCTTTAATTTTAATAAATTAGGCCTTTGGGCCTATTTTATTATTTGAGCCTTCCCATGAATTCGGGCAATTCTAAGATCACAACAAGGCCCCTGTTTTCGGCTATTTCAAGTGATGGCGCCATTAATTGAAGAGGAAGGAACCGATGTCGGTTGTCGGTGCTGCTTGGGGATAATGCTAGTTGGTGTTTAGTTGATGCGGCGGAGATAATGCTAGTCGGTGTTGAGCTGACGCGGCAGAGATAAAGCTAGTCGGTGTTCAGTCGATGCAGTGGAGATAATGCTAGTCGGTGTTCAGCTGATGCGGCGGAGATAATGCTAGTCGGTGTTCAGCTGATGCGGCGGAGATTATGCTAGTCGGAGAAAAAGACGCCACCGTTGTTGTCGGAGGCTAAAGCCGAGACAGAGAGAATGATTTTTTAGATTTTTTTTTTGTTAAATTGATCTAAATGCTAAAATTAAGATCTCATGACTAGGTCTAAATTAGCCACAAAAAAATTAACTCCAAATTGATTTATTTTTACATCAGAATGTATGACTTTTTAAATCATAATTATTCACAAAAATATTTATGAAAAAAAAAATGTATAACAATAAAAGGAATTTTTTAATTAAGAAAAAGCTTTGCTGAGTGTATATATTGACGGTGTTGGATTGCAGGGAAACATTGATTGAGTGGATACATATGAACTGGTGGGAAATTAGATTTTTTACGGAACGGGTCGCGGTTAACCTTATCTTATCATAACATGAAAACTTTAGTGATTTAGGCATATAACTTTACTCATTGACATGTAATGTCCTATAAGTAACAATTCTGCTCATATTAAGAACATACATATCCCCAAGAATATATTATTCCTAGTAAAAGTTCATCCTTAAAGGACCTTTTCGAGACCGGTAGTGCATTCTGGTGAAAAATACTTAATGTGTAAAACATATTAGTTGCATGACATGATATGCAAATGAATAAAGTTTCTAGACCAATAAAAAGCACAAGCTATCTAATACGACATACTATTCCATTAATATACTACATCCATCTCTTAAAATTTGACCGACAGGAGAATTAAATAGAACGATATTTTTTTTATACAAATGAGAAAGTGACAAAATTAGTTGTACACCAAAAAATTAACAAAGTTTTAAGGGACAGATGGAGTATATAAATATATGTATGTAAATAAACATGCATGCACGATAATAACTCTAATTAACAATGAATAGAAAGATATATGTGCTAACCCTAGCAAAATTCCATGCAAATTTCCTTCTGTGCCACCATTAGTAATATAACCCCAATACTCATCTTTCTCAATCTCCCAGAGTTGTGGAAACCAATCTAGGACTGCAACTTCAAAATCTTTGGAATGAAAATCCATAAAGCTCTCCATGAAGGGATCACCAATATTGTTCAAGTGGGAAGGCATCAACGGTGCTAAAGTCGCATAGTGGTCATAAACTATGTTCAGTTGATAACCTATATGTACATAAGAAGTTAGAACAAATGTTATAGCTGAATCTAATTAAATAGACATTCAGATGATCAGATCTTATTGAGTTCTACTAGCTATACTGGACAACCATATATCTTCAACTGGTTGCCCGTCACACGCGGCAGTTATTTAACAATGCTCCCTCGCTGCCCAAGAAGTGGGAGGAGTGGTTCTTCTTTGTTCAAATGGTGGAACTCCTACATTTTCCTGACCGGTGGAATGCCTTCCTGGTTCAGGACAGAGAACCAACATTGGACGTCACCATGCACTGTCAAGCCGACCGGCTTCGATTGGTGGGGTCTTAGAACAACCGGGCATACGTTACGCCCTCCAAGATGCTAGCTGCTTACATTGGTAAACATCCTTCGGTGCTAGCTCGTTCGGGATCTATTCTCCCCTTGATGTTTTCTGATCAAAAGCGTTTCTCTGCAGGTGTGATACCTCTAGTCCAGATGAAGTTTTTGATTCCGGTATCCACCTCAACCGTCCCAAGCGGAAAGGGCAATGGGAAAATCAACGTTGAGGGAAAGGGTAAGTTGGTCCAGCAGTCCCATTCTTCCACCCATGATTCTTCCGATCTGTCTCAGAAACGGCCTCACGACGACCAAATGGCGTTATCCACTGAGGTGGTGGACCTGACCGGCCTTGACACAATAAAGCAGAAAACTGTCCCGCCCCCACCGTTGATCGACGGGGCCGCCTCTTCAGACACTGAGATCACCGATCAATTGAATTTGAAATTTTCTGGTCTCGGGCCCAGTTCTGAAGGGCGCATGTTGTTCGGGAAAACGCCCACATCCTTGTGGTGCAGTATGGCCTTGAAAACTCCTCCAAGTTTCACTGGCCTAGTTCAATGGATTGATCTGGTCAAGACAGGCCACCTCGAGAATGATAGGGTATTATTCTTGATGATCAGTTCTCTTTGTGTTTTCTCCCGTTTCCATTGTATTAACTTTGCGGCTCCGTTTCAGGATAGGGTTTATTACCACAAGGCTTTCCGGGCGTCCGGGCGGGAGATGATGCTTTTTGCCCGAGATCGGGATGATGCTCAGACCTTGCTTGCTGTTGGGCGCAAGTTGGCAGTCGATCTGCAAGATCAGGCGAGCAAAGGGGTCAAAGTTGTGGCAGAATTGACTGAGGTCCAAGCAATGGTCCAACGTCGCGGTCGAGAGATTAGTGCTACGAAGGACAAGGTAAAGGCCGCAGAAGAGGCCGGGTAAAGTTCAGAGGGCCAAGGAAGAGAATCCTCCTCAACAACATCCGTTTGTTGATCATTGGTAAAATTTCCTCAAATGTTCCACATTCCAGATCCCGGCCGTTCGGCCTTCGGTTGTCTTAATGTCGAAGGTCCCGGTTGCGTATTTGCGCCAGACTTGGTACGGGCCTTCCAAATTCTTGGATAACTTGACGCCGTCGAGTGGTTTACCCTTTTCCCTTTTTATGAGGACGAAGTCCCCAACCTCGGTCGAGCGGATCTTGACTTGTTTATCAAAATATCTCTGAGTCACTCGGTGGTGCTCTTCGATCCTCCTGGTATCCAAGTCCTTACATTCCTAGATGAAGTGAAATTTGGCACGAAGGTCTCCTCTTTTTATGTGGACTGAAATGTGTCACTCGGTGAGTGGGAACCAAAACCTCGGTCGGGACCTTGGCCTGGAACCCGTATGATAAGGCAAATGGGGTTTCTCCAAGGGCGGTCCTTGGGGTCGTTCGGTACATCCACAAGATGTGTTTAGCTGATCCGCTCAAGTGGAAGAATAGTCTTCTAGTTTCTTTTTCATCCCATCATTGACCGGATAGTTCATATTCTCGACCTGGTCGTTCGCCTGTGGGTAGGCCACTGATTCCCAAATTTGAGCTTTTGGTATTCTAGAATTTGAGATGAGTTATAAACGGCGGGGATGACATTTATAACACATTTGTCAATTCCGGAGTGACATTTACAATCTAATAAAATGGGTATGACATTTCAATAAGGTGACTAATTGAGGGACAAAAGTGCGATTTCCCTTGATTAATTTAAAATAATGTTACATTCTCCCACTTGATGCAATCGCTATCCTTATGAAACAAAAAACATGAAGCACAATATTATGTCCTCTTAGCTCGAGTAGTATCACTTATGATCACATGCATTCCCCCCTAAGGTATGCCTATCAAAACTTAGTGAATAAATCTTATGTTTATTACTGGTCCATAAGAAGTACACTTTCTCAACTTAACCAAGTGGGCATATCTTAATAATTATTAGAAAATGTCTTAATGCATAAGAATTTTGTAAATAATTGGATGTATATATACTAATACAAATTTGAACAAAGTCCCATATTCGATACATGATCCTTGAATTTGAATAGAGACATGCCTAGTCGAAGAATCATCAATCATCAACTCAATGCTAATATGCTAAATGATCACTTTCTTATTCTTAATGTGCTCCCTAATAGTCAAGTATTTGGTGTCGGTATGCTTAATTCAACTCCCACGCTTGTCGTTCTTTTGATAGCAAGACTACAACGGAGTTATCATAATAAACATTTAATGGACTAGATATTGAATCCATAAGTGAAATTCGCATCACTTACTTCATTTAAAATGCTATTATCCAAACTGGGCCAATATATATTTAGTGCTTTTTTATTGTACAAAATATTTTTAATGTTACAATGAAATTTGTAGTTTCTGTAATATAATTGAATCGAGTCCTAATATCTACGGAACTCCTTCTTAAGAGGCCGTGTGGTAATACTGTTTATTGGCTTACCAGACTTATCATCTAACGTTTTCACCAAACACGTAACTTTTTTTTTCGCGCGCTCAATTGTGTAATAATAAGAAAAGGTAAGGTTACAGTTACCTTTCTAGCTGTATTGGTTGAAGTTATTGTAGATTGCCATTTTCTCTATTTTTACATATAACTTTTTCTTTCTTTTATTAACAAAATATATTTTAAAAATATTTTTTGCTTAAATAATAGAATCTGCCAATGCAGTCACTTCAGCCAAGATTATGGGAGCAATAGAATTTGATTAAAAACAATTATTACATTATTTACAATAATTTCCCTTAAAATATACTATAATTACTATACATATAAACTAAATCAATTTCTGGAACGAAAAAGAAAACAAAACTATTGTCTTCAGAGAAAGGTGTATTGAGAAATAAGTATGCAATGTGAAAAGAGTTTATTTGGGAAAAAACATTTTACATTTAATACTTTAATTTAACTTTTAACCAATGCCCGTTAATAGCTATCATGCAACAAATATGAAACAATCTACAAGTGTCAAAGTACAAATCTAATAACTTAATCATAGAATGTGAAATCAACTTCTTTCCCTCAAATATTGTATCACATTACCATTATTCCTTAAACACAAAAGAAATTAAATCAAATTTTGTGAAGAGGGCAGTTACAATTTTCAGGGCCAAAATCATCGATTAGGCAAGGAGGTTGAATCTTTCCGTCTACATACCACATTTCCCTTTCATGGACCAAATCGTTGAAGAATCTATCAAGAGCTTCACTAGTGACACCGGGCATGACAATAACATGCGCCATTTCCCCCACACAAGAGAGTTGCCAATGACGAATGAATTCACGGTCGCGAGGTCGCTCAAAAACCACAGTAATAGTATTTCTATTGTGCATTGTGCTAATGCCTGCCCCTCTGAGACGATCACTCAAATGTTCTGCATTTTTTATGCACCTTTGAGCATCACTTTGGAGCCCAGTCCGACCCATGGTGCTCAGACTATACCAAAGGCATATCGGTGTCAGTCCATTTCGGCTACCTGAGATGGTGGCGTCTACGGAGGCAATATACTCAACATTTCTTGAGAGCTTATATATGAGTCGTTTTCTTGTTATTTGGATTCCACATGGCATTGGGCATCCTAGGAACTTGTGCCCAGAAATCGTAATGCTCCCAATCATGGGCTTCTTAAAAGTGATTTTTGGTTCATTTTTTAAGAATGGGACAATAAGGCCTGAGAGGGCTGCATCACAATGAATGTAAATTTGTTCTTCTGAATATCCACATTCTTCAACTGTCTCGATAATGATGTCCAAGTTATCCATGGCTCCTTTGAAACTAGTTCCTACAACATTATGTAGACACGCTATAATGAAATGACGAATCACGTGGGTTGAGTTATGGAAAATGTAATTATAGTCTCGTAACTTTAGGTTGTATCCATTATTAGTCGTGTAACTTTACTCAGTTGCAAAGTTGGTCCTATAACTAATCAATCTTTGCACTTTAAGGACTTTTCCACCAGAAAGTACACTTTCCAATCATAAATTCGCTGGAAAAGATGTCACTGCCGCCAAATTTTTTGTCGGTGAAAAGTCCTTAAATTGTAAAGATTTATTAGTCACATGACCAAATCTGTAACCGAGTAAAGTTACGCGACTAATAATGACGACAACCGAAAGTTACATGACTAAAATTGCAATTCTCTCTAATAAATAATGGATACACACGAAGACCTATGGAGCATAACTGTAGACAACCAATATAATGTACTCAATTATGAAAGGATATAAAGCTATGACCCATTTTTCAACATAGGGAAACTCTTGTATTTCCAGTGTTTTGGCTAGAAAATGCCAAAAAACAAACAGGACCACACTCATGCAATGAAAATGAAATGAAATGAAACAATATGATCAAATTAAGAAAATGATACGTACTAAACAAACAAATTAAACTGAGCAATGTCGCATCATATCTTTGTTTGATTTACTTTTTTATACAAGTGTTATTTGTAAATAGTTTAATTGGGTTAATTTTTTATAAGAATAAATTCCACTTTTGATCCTATGAGTATCACACCAATTTCACTATTGGTCAACGTCTTTGACTTTGACCACATTTGCTACATGACTATTGTATTTTCGCCTATATATGATCCTTCCGTCAATATTTCAGGTGATTAAAATCACCGGAAAAAGATCACGAATGATCAAGAAACATTAGTCATGTATCAAAAGCGGATAAAATGTAAGATGTGGACTAAGTGTGAAAATAACATAAAAGTCATAGGATCAAAAGTGGAATTAATTCTTTTTTATAATAACAATATTAATTAACAATAAATTACCAATAGTAGCATTGATGATGGCCGGTTTTCCCTTATTTTGAAGCAATTTTGACTTCAAGTCGGCATAGTCCATTTCTCCATTGACCATAGTGTTGATTCCTTCAAATTCCATTCTATACATTTTTGCAGCCTTGAAAACCGAATAGTGTGACTCCTTTGATGCATATAGTATTCCGTTCGGAAGTACCTCTCTCCTATTAACCAATAAAACACAACTTTATTCAAATGGTAAGATTTTTGAATTTGTTATTGTACAAATCCTAAATACGAAATGAAATGTGTAGATATGTGTGTGTTTGGAAGATTAGATAATAAAAATGACTTAAAAGTGTCTAATATGTAACAAGTAATAATTAATTATAATAGTAGTACTTGTAATAACCTTACTTAAAATCTTTGGTTTCGGAAAAACTTCAAATAAAGGGTATCATACATTATTTTCATTGTCTAGCTAATTTGATTAAAAATGTACTGTTCTTTTTATTATTATGGCTCTCAATGGTGAGATGACGGCTGCCAATAAGTCACATAACTCAAAACGGTTTAAAAATGTATTAAACCGTTTTGAATTTCCAAGATTCCACATAAGTCAGACTTGAGAGGTGATTCAAATTTCAATGAAAGATTAGAGAAAATTGAATTGAAATTATCAAAATGTAGTTTTTTTAGTTTTTCTCGATGTTTTCTCACCAACCCAAAAAAATATTTTGCGATAAAATGGTACTAGTAATATGTTTCATATTTTATCCATCTACATGGATTAATTAATATAACTTGTCAAACTTCTAGAATAGAAAAAATAGGTGCAATAAAAAAGGAGTATGTGTTATCACTTATAATCCTCTCTTAGGCTGCTCGTAACCCGAAATGAATAGCCAAATCCAATTTTTTCAACCCAAATTTTGTTGCAATCCATGTGTTAGAAGAGGCTATAGTGGGTAATGAATAGAAAGATATATGTGCTAACCCTAGCAAAATTCCATGTAAGTTTCCTTCGGTGCCACCATTAGTAATATAACCCCAATACTTATCCTTCTCAATCTCCCACAGTTGAGCAAACCAATCCAAGACTGCAACTTCAAAATCTTTGGAATGAAAATCCATAAAGCTCTCCATGAAGGGATCACCGCAATTGTTCAAGTGGTAATGCATCAACGGTGCTAAAGTCGCATAGTGGTCATAAACTATGTTCAGCTGATAGCCTATATGTACATAAGAATTGAAGTTAGAACAAAAGTTATAGGTAAATCTAATTAAATAGACATTGAGATGATCAAATTTTATTGAGTTCTACTCTCTAAATATAAACTCTCAATGTCTAAGGATGTTTTTAATTGGAATGAAATTTGTTGCGTTTGTCTGATCTGTTTAAGTCTGATCCAGTCTGACCTGTTTAAGTCTGTTCTAGTCTGATCCGTTTAAGTCTGGTCTAGTCTGATCTGGTAAATGTCTGGTGTATGTGTATTTTACAACTATGAAAATATGGTCTTGTTTGGTCTGATCAAACAGTCCAAGTAAAAACATCCTTAGAGACTTAAGCGGACAGAAAGACTTCATAGCAGGTTGATGTGGTTCGGCTCGTTTCGCGAGTGACAGAAAACGGTAATGGTGGTTGTGACCGTGTTTTCTTGATCGATAGAAAATTCTCTCGGGACAAGCTTGATCAACAAAATTTGGGTCTGTCCAAACGAAGAATAGAATGACGTTGGTACCAAGGGAAGGAGGTTCAATGACGTTTCAAGTTCCGGCTTTGACCAGGACGAATTATCCAGTGTTGGTTGTCAAGGTGAGGATGATCATTGATGCATATGGCTTATGGGAGACGGTCGAACAAAGGGCGCTAGGTGAACAAATGGATCTAAGGAAGTCAAAACAAGCTCTTACTTTCTTGTTTCAAGTGATACCCAAAGACATGGTGTTGCAAATGGCGAGTTACACCGATCCAAAACAAGTATGGGATGACCTAAAAACGTGATTTTTGGGAGTGGAGCAGGTGAGAACGGGCTCGTCTTGCAACTCTAAAGAGGGAGCTCGAAGGATTGCATATGAAGGAAGGCGAGACCGTTGATGACTTCGCCAAAAAATTGATCGGTTTAGCTTCAACGGCAAGGACCCTTGGATACGAAATTGAGGAATCAAATTTGGTGAAAAACTACTTGATTCTATGCCTAAGTCTTATCTCCAACTCATCGCTTAAATTGAGCAATGCTTTGAGTTAGATGTGATGCTGTTTTAGTCCTATTTCGATAATATATCTTATTTTTACGATGTTGTAAGTCGTTTAGCTCACAATTTAATATTATGAAGTTGAGTTTTTTCTTTCAAAAGAAATGCTCCAACTAGTTGTAATTACTGATTAAGGCCAGGCAAGGCAACCCAGTGCATTTGATTAATTGTTTTCCATACTACATAAACAAAATAAAATATTTAATGAACGATGATGGTATTAATGCCTAGAATTGAGTAATGCAAAAGTTTAAGAAAGTCATATAAGGCACAATAAAAAAGAGTGATTGGAGTATATAGCCAAAATCACGAATAGGAATAGCAATTTCAAAATTTCCAAAATATGTTTTTTTTTGTGATTGGAAAAAAATGCTTTGCATGTATTAATCCCTGCCACCGCCAAACTCTGCCCGCCGCCGGAATGCACCACCACTTCCGGGCTGATCCGGTTGCCCGAGGGAAATATGGGACAATTAATTAGAATAGAGGTATTACGGATAGAAAATTAATGTTTTATCCTACTTGTGAAAGATTTCACTTTTAGTCCTATTTGTGTAATTATTTTTACATTTAATGATATAATCTTATTTAGAGTAATCATACTATAAAACAAATCTTGAGTAATGAGAACACACATATATATACATACCTAATTGATAATTGACTCGTTGAGCAATGGCGCCGAGATACTTTTCCAGAATGCATTTCAAGCTAGCTTCACCGTCTTCTGATTGCGGCTCCGCCACCGTAATGTGCATGTTCTTCCTCGCTCGGGGCGCCGTTTTCACCATCTTCTCATTTTCATCACATTCTCCATTGATGAAACTCTCGTTTTGAACAAAGAATGGGAGCAACGTGTCTGGTGGGTTTGGGTTTACACTCATTGGCTTGAAATCCTTTACCTACATGTTGAACGTTGCATTATAAGATTTCTCGGTGTGCAATCCTCATTTTATTATCATCAAAACACACCGCTTTATATAAAAATCATAGGAATAGAATCATTAAAACCAACTCAAAACGACCAACCCTGATTACAATTATCCCAAATCAACTAGCACTATCAACCCTACGGCTAGACTCAGAGACGATCACCCCTGAAAGAGCAATACGAATCGTTAACCATCAAACGGGTGTGACACAGCACATATAGATCCTTCCATCGACATAATATCTAGCAGATTTGTCAATCATCATTGTAGACCTAGAACTAAAGACATCAACAAAAAACAAAGCAACATAAAAATAAAGAACTGATAAATTTTCCAACCCTAGCATCTCGATCGCTCCGGGGCGGCGGTTCAGGAGGGGGGCGGACTCCCGATCTGTCTTCTCCCTTGCTCAGTCCTTCACCCTCTACCCATGTTGATTTGCTAGAAATTAACCTGTTGATCTCCTTCTCAATTGCAGGAATGAGACAACACTGCTCTAAATCATTCATAGAAGACATGATTATCCTTTCTTGAACCTTCGCTTGGATTCGTTTCCAATGGCTGCAACCACACTCACGCCTCCTTAAAAAGCACTCTAGAAGCATAGAGAAGAAGAGCCGCACAAACAATTGGCGAAAAGAAACCCTACGCGACGGCTAAGCCGCTAAGGAGACAAAACCTTACGCGCAGGGCCGGCCATAGGGGGAGTTACCCTAGACAAGTGTCTAGGGCCTCTAAATTTTAGGGGCCTCTAATTTATAAAATAAGCTTATTAATATTATTTAGGAGACTTTGTCCGGCCGTCAACATTTGGGATAGTTTCCTTTATAATTTTTTGATGATTGTTTTTCTATAATCTTATTCATTATGTCTAGTTTACTCATACCAAATGTCATCTAAAAATTCAATCGGGAAGACATTCAAATGAATTCTTGAAGATAACTGCGCAGTTAAAAGCGCAGTTATCTTCAAGAATTTATTTGAATGCCTTCCATGTTCAATTGTTAGCTGAAATTTGGTATAAGTAAACAAGACTTAATGAATAAGATTCTCAAAACATTTCATCAAAAAATTCCACCGGGAACTGCCTCAAATGGCGACGGCGGGACAAAGTCTCTTATACAAGGGCTTATTTGACCTTTTTGGTTAGTATGTGGGCTTATTTGCTCCTTTTTCCTTTTTTTTCTTTGTTGGCTAGGGCAGTAGGGCTAGGGATTTAGGATAATGAGTATTCTAAATATATTTGAATGCTTATTGAATAATTGAAATTGTAATTTGTTATTTTGATTCATCGAAATATTGAACATACTTATAATTTTTTATATTTGATTAAATTTAGTGAATTAAATTTATATCTATGAACCATTAACTTATATTTAGTGATAGTATTATTTTGAATGAAATTTTATGTTTTGTGATGATTGGAAAACAAAATATGAATCAAGATGTACAAAGACAAAGAAAAAAAGTAAGAAATGATTTGGTCATGAAATCACTTTCCGGCTCTATCGATCGGTATGTTGTATGTAAGCACAAAACCTTCTCCCTCTAGGGCTCTTTGTATTTTTTCATCAACTTTGATCTTCTGATTTCGAAGAATATTCTCACTGTATTAATAGTATATGATGTATTTTATATGTAATTTACTTATATTTAATTGTTATTTTTTATATCATTGGGTTAAATAAAACATATTTAAAACAAAATTTCTACATGACCGTCTAGGGTCTCATAATTGCTCTAGCCGGCCCTGCCTACGCGATGTCAAAGCCGCTAGGGGGAAACGTTATTAGGGTTAGAGAGCTCTTAGACCCTCTCTCTCATAAGCCGTGATACGCTGCAATCATCATTTTTAATAATTAACAATACTAATACTTCATTACCTATGTGTAATATGCTAATAATAAATATATGTAGACATGTAGTAATAATATCATAATAATAGTAATAGTTGTAATAATAATAATAATAATAATAATAATAATAATAATAATTGTAATGGTAAATATAACAATAAATACTGGGTATAATAAGATTATGTTTGACAAAACTAGCTGAAAGATACCTTTACTGATTTTTTAGTAACTTTTACTACCTCCGTCTCGCTATGATTGTCCCATTTTACCTTATTGATCCGTCCCAATAAGATTGTCCTATACCAAATTTGGTAAAGTTTGTGTGGCTCTGAATCATTCTTACTTTATTCTTATTTTATCAATTAAATATCAACCACATAAACCAGTTTTTATTAATTTGTGTGTCACATCTATCCCTTTTGTCCCATTGTTAGCGGGATGGAGCGAGTAGCTTTTAGTGACCGAAAAGATCTTAAAAGTAAAACGTGGTGGCTGTTTGGTAAAAAGCTGACTGTTTGGTTTAATTCTTTTTTGTATACAAGCTGTTGGGACTAATTAATGCTAAAAACCACAGACTTTTCGCAGATGCTACTCCCCATAGCATCTCAAAAAAGATCTTTTAGTTTTTGAAAAGCTCTTAACAATTGTCATAACAAACGTATAACTAAAAACTTTTAGGGACTTTTTGAATAGTATAAAAACTAGAAGGTAGAGACTTATGTCTTTCATACGTAGCCTAAGTAACGATATACTTCGTATAATAATAGTTTTAATACTACGTAATAATTAATTCTGATCGATGGAAGGTGAGAAAATTAATTAATCATGTAAAATAATAGTAGTATATCCACTAGCTAAGCTATATAAGAGCATGCATCTTTAAATTAAATACTTGACATACATCATCATTTCTACAATTTTCCAACCATATATCATATCTCGCCTTACCTCATCGAATGCCAGAATTCCCATGGCTCCTAGAAGGTAGTAAGAAATTACAAATGTTAGTAAGTTCTTTCTTCGACCAAATTATTGAGGTGAGGTGAGGTGAGGTGAGGTGAGATTTTGGAATTGTAGGTAGCACTATATATAAGAAAAAGTCCTTTGTGCACGTCAAAAGGTGTACAATCAGGGGTGTAGTGAGGAGTAAGAGTTGGGTTGAGCCAGTACAAAGAATTTTTACACATAAATTTTTACATTAAAAATATAAGCAATTTTAAAATTTAGGCTGGACCAAGGCCCGGTCGGCCACCCCTACACCTCCACCCCTGGTGTACATGTACTCCATTTACTGATAGAGTAGTTTTATTATTGTGGGACTCTTATTGTAATTTGAACTCTTTTTACTATAAATATATCTGGCAGGGCTACCATTAAGGTTAAGCCTAATATTATTCTGACATGGTATCATGAGCCACATCTAACCCCCCCCCCCCCCCACCCAAAAAAATCCAGCTGCAATGTCTTTCGCGCCTAACACTTCTGTCACTGACTCTTCTACGTAGCCCATTGCTTCCGCAGCTGCTCAGATGACGTCGCCGGTGAGTTCTTCCTCCACAGCAGCGCAAGCTATTTTGCCCGTTGATTCCGCCGCACAACAGACCTTTGTTCTTTCCTCTGAGTCGCTATTGGCTTCTTCAATCGGTAGTCCCTTGCTGTTGACTTTGACTCGACCACATATTACTTTTGCTGTACACCCGGTTTTTCAATTTATGCATGCCCCACACACTTCACATATGTTGGCTGTTAAGCGTGTTTTCAGGTATTTTCAGGGAACATCTACTCATGGTCTACTCTTACAGTCCTCATGCGGTCCTACAGAGGTCATTGCTTACTCTGATGCTGATTGAGCTGGATGTCTTGACACAAGCAGGTCTACCTTTGGCTATGCACTTTTTCTAGGCCCAAATCTAATCTTTTGGCGGTCCAAGAAGCAGCCCATTGTTTCCCGTTCTTCCACTGAAGCTGAATATAGAGCCATAGCTTTCACGGTTCAGGATACTCTTCACATACGATCAGTGTTGTTCGAGTTGGGGTTTCCTGTCCGCGTACAAACTACCTTGTTCTATGATAATGTATCTGCTTCTTATATCTCAGTTAATCCCATCCAGCATGCCATGAGTAAGCATATTAATATTGACTGTCACTTTGTTCGTGAGCGAGTGACTCATGGTGATCTCCGTGTTAAGTATGTTCCCACGCAGGCTCAGCTGGCAGATATTTTTACCAAGTGTTTGTTCACAACGTTTTACTCTTCTTCGTGACAATCTGCGCATTGTTTCCCCTGTACATCTTGAGGGGATGTAATAAAGTAGTTTTATTATTATTTATTATAATAAGGTGAATTATAATTTGAACTCTTTTTACTATAAATATACCTGTCAGGTCTACCATTAAGGTTAAGCCTGGTATTATTCTCATATTTACGTGCCCAATTTTGTTATGTGCACGGTCATATATTTTTATATTTTTTAAAGGTGAATTGTCTGTGTCAAAGATAATTCACCTTAAAAACAAAATGAATTCAAAAATATTCGGAATATGAGTAAAAACGTTTTTGAATTCCAAATTAGGACCACTGCTATGTTTTTATTCTCTAAACATGTAACTATTGCCAAGCTAAGGTTAGAAAATATTGTTATCTTTAAATTATACTAATCCTAAAACATGACAATAATTACTCATATTTAATAAATAGAAAGATGTCAATCCTATTTTGGAATTCACAAATATTTTTACTCTTATTTAGGGCATTTTCTTAAAATGAACTTGTCTATACACAAACAAAACGGGGCGTGAAAATGCCTTCGGCGTGTACATGAAGCTGCTTCGTTATATACAGTATTTAGTTAATTTACAAGATAGATTACAAATTTGACCGCAAAAGTTTTCTTAATTGGAAAAGTGCAATTGGACGGAGGAAGTAATTTACAAATTTTTTAAATTTTTTTTTTCTTAATTTAAAAAAAAACTTGCTATACACAAACAAAATTGGGCGTGGAAATGATGTCTACGCCTTCGGCGTGTACACGAAGAGGCTTTGTTATACGGAGTATACAGTACATAGTTAGTGTACAAGGTAGAACTAATGATTTGTTTGGCCAACAACCACTTTGATTTGTTGCTTTGCACAATTGCACGTGCAAAAGGTTTACTTACCGTCTGTATACATGCATGCATCTTTTTTTGGAGGCCATCTTCAGTCGACCAGTCCCTAGCTCCCACTCCACCATTATGTACGATGAGTAACTTTAGAAATATTGTTACTAGTCCCTCCATCCCAGACAGGGGCGGCCATGTGGGGAGTTGGCCCAAGGCAAATGCCCTTTTATAGGAGGTTCTGTCCGGCCGTCGTCATTTGGGGCGGTTTCCGGTGGAATTATTTGATGAAATTTTTTAGCATCTTCTTCATTAAGTTTAGTTTACACATACCAAATTTCATCTAAACATTCAATCGAGAAGTCAGTTCAATAAATTTTTGAAGATAACTGCGCAGTTAGGCAGCGCAGTATATTTCGGAAAATCATTTGTCTTCCTTCTCGATTGAATTTTTAGATGAAATTTGGTATGGATAAACTAGACTTAATGAAGAAGATGCCCAAAAAATTCATCTAAAAATTCCACCGTAAACCTCCCAAAATGGCGACCATCAAACTAATTAAACATATGGTGACTAGTTGGAGTAGTCCAACAAAATAAGTCCACATATGGTGGCTAGTTGGAGTAGTCCAACAAAAAGCCAACAATTAGCTGGACTACTAATAAAATTCACTGATTATTATTATATTTGTGAATTTTAGCTTTTTGTTGACTGCTTTATTTTTTTGTAAGTATGTTACTAGGGCAAATTTAGAAGTACTACTAAGATTGTCTCATATCAAATTTTGTAAAGTTTGCGTCACTTTAAATCAATCTTACTTATTCTTACTTTATCATCAATTCAATATCAAAAGCTTTTGGGAATAAGACTTGGATGTTGTTGTTGATGGCTATATTGTCATAAAAAAGTTAACTATATTCTAAATTTAAAATGAGAATGAGAACTTTTTAAATGAAACGTCCAAAAGAGACAAATGATAATGTTTACTTCGGGCGGAGGAAGTGTAAGTTTTGGTCCATTTTGTGTATGTTTACATGTAAAAAAAATTATTATTTTGATTTTCACTACTCTTTCAATGTGCATTTTTCTTTTATTGTGTATTTTTATTTAATTTATCTTTTTTTCTTTTGTGTTTTAAAAATCACATTAATATAATATGTCAATATTAAGTGTTTTTCGCCTGGGGCCTCCAGAGTTCTAAAGACGCATCTGATCCCAGAAAATTCTTTCCACTTTGACTTGGCACGGAGATTAAGAAAGTGGAATAAAGTGGAAATATGTGATTGTAGTTGTATAAGAAAAAGGTAAAATGAATGTGAACCACACAAATTGTCCAAAAATGGTAAGTGAGAAGCATTTTTTGGGACGGCCCAAAAAAGAAAGTGGGAAAAATTTTATGGACGAAGGGGGAGTATTTGGTAATTCATGATATAATCATTGTATTTACAAAACAATGAAATATTACCTGCTATTGAAATACTTTTCTCGCCCGTATAAAATAAAATTATAAAGTATTATATACGGAGTACTATTCCTGTTTCTTTTTAGTTGGAACATTGATAATTTTGCATTATTCACATGTTTTACTTTGACTGCATTTTATATATTTATTAATGTATGAGAATTATTTTTGATGAAGTATATGGCCCGAGAACCCCCGGTCCACAGACTCCTACTACTCCAATAAAGGCCCAATAGGCCCGGGAAGCACAACAGGCCCAAATCACGGCGCCCAGAGTACCAAGCAGCCCACAAATGCGCACCAGGGGTGCCTTCGGCCCCCTGGCCGAAGGCTCTGATTCTCACAGGATGGCCAAATCAGGAAAACAAAGTTACTGGGAAAATGGCAAAAATCAGTAGCCCTCGGCGCCTAGAGCCCTCGGCACTAAGGAGGTCCCCGATACTCAGAGCCCTCGACTAGTCCTCTACATCCGATGGCACCTTTTCTGACATAATATCCGCTCCACATGCGTATGGATCACCGTACCCAGTATAACGTCCCATCCAACAGCCACATTAAATGCGGCCACATGCGTTGGCCAGCGCCAACCGGTTGAGGTGACCCCTCGGCCAATGGGTGTTTGACACGTGTCCCTGTCCGACATTTATTACTACTATAAATAGCACCCCATTTCCCCATTTGTAACCAAGACACAAGACACAACACGCTGGATATACTTTCTGATATACTCTCTCTCTACTTACTTGCTCTGACTTCTCTCTAGTTATTCCCCGTAATAACCCTTCGGATTAGCTACCCCCCGGGTACACTATCCATCATTTGGTGCTTTCATTGAGAGGTCGAACAATCAAGTAAGAGACCCTCCCCCTCGACCAAACACTAAACACCCAGCTAAAATGGTGAGAACAACTCGTGCCAACTCCAAGAATGTAGAAGACAGGAACCTGACCCTCGGCGAGGTCGACGTCCCTGAAGCCTCTAACAGGGCTCCCGGGGGCGGCGTCATCGCCGGGTTGGACCAGACGGCTGTCGACCTACGCCAGCAGATTCAACAAAATGCCCCCGATGCCCGCCTCGGCATCGAGGCCAAGAAGATGGACCGGAGCGAAAATCAAATTAGCCCCCCGGTCATCACAATCGACGTGCAATCGGCGCTCTCCGCCTTCATCCAGACGCTCACCCAGAACCCGGGTGCCTTCGGCACTTTGGTTCCCCACCAACCTCAGGTCGGGGAGAATATTATGCCTCCCCCTCATCCATGACCCCTCGGTAACCCGGTCCTCCGGATGGGGAACTCCGAGGGGGTCGTGGCCCAAGATACGGCCTCCCAGGAAGTCCAGTCCCGGGACCGCCACAACGTAAACAAGGAACAACTCCGGACCTCCTCCCTCGAGAGACTCGGAGGGGCGCAAGACCGCCGAGGGGTCCAAGACCGCCTCGGGGGGAAGGCGTTCCAGAGGCCTCAGGAAAGTGGCGGGTCCGTCTCCAGGGCCAATG